TATATATATATATATATATATATATATATATATTTCTCAATAACTTTTTAAAAAGTCAGATTGATCATTTATTGATTTTTAATTTCTTACTTTCTGTCAAGGAACATGAATATACAAAAGCATGTGGACTTTTATATGGTGGGCACTGAAAGATAAAAAAGGATATTCATTGGTAATACTTTATGTAGTTTAAACAAGAAAAGCAATTTTGTGATCTATAATAATTTAATATCTCATTGATCATTTGATTATTATTTTTTTTTTGTCTAACAATAAAAAATTGCACTCAATCTTCCAAGTTTCATTTTTTCAAGACTACTAAAGTCAATTAAATAAATAGTATTCCATTAACAAAATCTCTTCCAAAAATAGTGCTCTATGAAAAGAAAAAGATTTGAGAATGTGGCACATAAATGGTTTGACAATGGCTACTTGGCCAGGGTGATTGACAGAAAATTGGGTGATAGAATGGGATGACAACAATTGATTGAGTGTTTTTTTTTTTTTTTTTTCAAATTGTCAAATCATGTATCGATACACATCCTCCCTATTTTTTAACCTGTCATTGATTCAGTTTGTGTAGTATAACTCAATATTTAGCATGTACACAAGTGTGACATAAAAATATAGCAAACCAAAAGACAGCCTCTTTGGGGACCATTACACTAATGCTCTTTTAGCAAACCAGTTGACGGACTATAGTTGTTGCACTTTTCACGGGGTACGTGGTCTAATTAGCCTAAGCAACTAATTAAAAATAATTATATGGTGCAATTGTCACTTCTTTTTCTTTAGCGAATGTTTTTTTTTTTGTGATAACCGTTGATGTTCGAGTCAACTTGCGGGCACCTCGATAATCTCACAGAACCCTAAAATTTACGGTCGGGTACTTACATCAGTGATTTTGAGAGGACTCGAACTGGTGACCATTGGAGAGCAAACCAAAGTTTGATCAATTGAGCAACCCCTCAAGATTTTTTTAGCGTACGGTTGACGCCCTTAAATCCAATCAATTTATTTTTGCATCATGATGTATTCATGTCAGCACGAAACAATTGTTTAAAAATTTTATGATTCGTATCTTTTCAATGTTATCCTTAAATAAATGCGTATTTACCAACTGAAATTGGGAGAAAGATTGAAGGACAAATAAATAAATTTTTCGAGATAAACACAGTTCTGTCAATTGCTTTTCAGAGGCACACAATTTTTAATGCATATGTTATTGTAGAAAACTTTGTTTCACAAAAACAATAGTGTCGTCAAACAGGGGCTTATATCAAAACCTTAAATTTGTCCCTAAAATGTAGCATTTAAGTTCGAAAGAACTCGATTCACTTTTATCCTCGCAAATTATCTTTAACGAGTTGTGACATGTACATGAGTGTTCGTACATAGACAACTTGAGCCATGCTGAGTTTCTAGGCCCTTTTTAACACATTTGTCCCGTCGAACAAATAAGTAGTTAATTTATGGGAAAATTATGCCTAATACCTTGTAAAAATAACTA